ACTGCGTTTAGGTCAACTTTGATGAAACAAATCCTGCGTCTAGGGTCCGCACCGCAGCCCCATGGGCGTATGTGTGTGCGTGTGTGTAGGCGTCTTAGGTTGCCACGCGCTTCTAGACCTCTCTGCTTTCGCTTGTTGCTCGCATGTGTGCGTGCAGAAGGCCACCGGACTGACAACCAATGGGAAGTCGCGTACGCAACCAGTGTCCACAGGTGTGCTTTCACACGCGCCTGCCAGCAGTCACAGCAACAGTTACACAAGGTCACTCGCATCCCACTCTTACATGGTGCACATGCTTGCCCATATAAACTAAAGGACTACTCCCGGGCACTTTGCTTGCCTACTATATATATATACATCACAAAAACAGGACCTCGCACAATCTTACAAAAACGGCGTCATGGACCTTATTCCCTCCGACTCCAAAGTTGCCCGCACCATAATACCACCGGCGGACTTCTATTCTTCCAGGCGGAAAACCTGATGACAAGACGGAAATGGTCCGACCCCCCACGACCCCTCCTTCGTTCCTTCCGTCAGAGGCTAGTCCTCACCTTCCATCTCGCAATGACTTCGTTTAAGGGTCCACCGGGCTCGAGGGTGACTGATTATAGCCTCTCGAGGCTTCCATACCTACCGGTCTTGGGATTGCTCCTGCTCTCACTCCTGTTGACAATTATAAACTTCTCTACCTCCAGTCCCCTCCTTGTCTCCGCACACACAGATTTTTTCTATCAATCCACTCACCTCTTCCAGCCACCGGATCCCAGCCGACCCTGTAGACACATCTTCCGCAACGATGTGGACACCAGCGCCCTACTGGCAGACTTTGTCCTTGAAGGCATACCCATTCCAACTTATCAGTCGCCGGACCAGGCTGCCGGTCTACTCTACAACGCCAGCATTCATGTGCGTCAGGTGGCGAAACGTCCCGCCTTTTCCATCTACCCTGTGCGCAAGGACTTTCCCATTCTTGCCGGACCCTTCAGTAGAAGGACAGATTTGGGCCGGTGTTGGGTTAATGTGCAGTTTGGAGCCCGGTACATATTTTTTATAGAGCGTCCCAACTGGGCGGGCTTTTTTCAGATTACTCAAATTCCTGTCCGATTCACTGTCAAACGTTGGCAAACTATTCAAAACATCGTGCGACGTGGGGGTGAGTGCTTTTATTTGCGCAATTGTTGTCAGTTTTATTGTACACATGGCAGAATATTTTGAGTAGTTCTTTTTCCTACCCTTTGATGGCAATAAGGTAAGGAAAGACCTTGTGTCGTTGACTGCTTAATTGTATGTTCAGCTGAGTTCAAATACCTTAAAACATGGTAGCAGGTGATGTTCTTGAGTAGGACATTTGCAGATTTTATTTCATCCGACATGAGCTAGAACTCGAGATTGGAAGCCTGATCGTTCATTTGAGGCGAGGGAAGGTCATGTCGATCATGCAAGCATTTGCTTATCGATTTCTTTTATCAGTCGCCAATGACCAGTCCCAACTGCATTTCAATTCGACCCCCACCACAATCAAGCTTATTGATAGTCTAGTCCATTACTTTTGATTAATTATGAGTAAGGTTGCTCTGTACTTCAGAACCCTGAAATGCAAAAAGGTATTAACGAGCGAAGGTACCGAACTATCAGCAAAAATCTTAAAAACTGTCGACTTCTTGGCAATTCGAAGAAGGTTGGGGTAAAAGGAGGCATTGCATTTTGAGCTTTTTCTAGGCTAACGTTATGGTAAACTCGAATAGTTTGGTCCAGTTACTTGTCTCTCATTTTGTCCACTTTTTATGCAAACAATTTATTTGGAAAAGAATGGGCGCTAGATTGATAACAAAAGGTTGCTTGGAATTCTTGGAGAAAGAACGAATATATGCGAACTAAGGATAGTTTTTCAGGATTAATATTTTCAAAATAGTGAGTCAGTGTTGCACTGCAAAATCCAAGTACATTTTTAAAACTTATTTCAAAAATGGACGTCGTGCATGTTGATTTGGCATTTCATAAAAATGCAAACAACTTTGTGATACAAAATGTTACTCTTATGATGATTCTAGACCTAGTTATTAGGAGACGTTTTGCAAACGAGCGCAATACCCTGATCCAGATAACCCTCGGTGATGGACATTTTCCAGTTGTTTGTATAAAACATTCGGGAAATAACTACTAAATTACCATGATAGTTTATGTTGATTTTCCATTAAACGATTAAAATGTCCTAAGGTACCAAATAGAAAGCTTGGTTTCTTTGCGAAGACATTTTCCAAAGCTCATGGTATGGCTTTAAAACGCGTGATGTCGCCCAGTCTGAACTCCTATGATAGAATACAATTATTAATGACGTGTCGTATATAAATGTCAGATGGCTTTCGATAAGAACAACTGAACTGGTATCAGGCATAGCGAAATTTTAGTGAATGATAATCTCTCTTTGGAAAAAAAGGAGTAGAAACTTGAAGTTTATAGTCTTCCCTGTCGGAAGATTTAATTGAATTTAGAATACCAACAACAGTTATTGCCGGAAAGGAACATAAGTGAATCATTACTTTTTTTCTTTTTATAAGCACGAGAAATAAGTTAAAGTTTATTTGAATCTCTGCTCCAAATCAGAATAACAAACATCCTTGAAATATTGGCTTCTCTATAAATACATCCAAAATCTTCCAGTAACGTTTAGCGAAGGTATTGCTCTGGTAAGCCTAGACTGTCTACTTAGACAGTTTCTACCATCAAATTATGTTTCTGTTTTTTCCGCGAGTTGACTTTAGAATCTCGAGTTCTAATAGACAAACATATTCCCACATTTTGCTGAAATAAATACCTTCACAACTTTTTGTAGAAGTTATTTTAATTAATGAAATCAACATATGATTTTCCCGCTGCTCTAGGGGGCTCTTTTTTATTAAAGCGCAGCCTTTCCTTTGTACAGGACCACTTACTTATACGCAGTTATAGTATTGCATCTCGAAATAGTAGTCTGTACGCAACGATGCTGTCTACGAAATACAATACTTTTAATAATAGCTAAAGACCCGGACTTATTGCCAAGTCATCGACTTTCCATGACTTTCGAATTCTTTCCTATTTGCCTATTATAAAGGTCAATTTCTGTATTTAGCCAAACGAACTATCACAAGCTTTTGTGGAAAATAAGATAAGTACGAAAATCGATGGAAGAATTTAGCGCTCTAATTATTCGATATGATCCATTATACAGAATGACATTGCCGACCAAGACATGGAGACTAAAAGGGCCATTCGTGACGTATTAGCTGTGATCAGTGAGCCATACCCAACTGCAGTTAGTACTGCACCGAGGTTTGAACCAGCGACCTGTTGGTTAGAAGTGCAGAATTCTAACTTATTGCTCCGCGGGCTCGTTGTCTTATCACGTAGCTGCTTGATTTGTAACTATACAAACCAATATTATCTAGAGTCAGAAGAGATCGCAGAAAATAAAGGGTGATTTGTTGTTTAAAAAAACTATCTGACACACAAACTTCATTTTACTACATGTCTCAAAGGGAATGCCAGTTCTGGTACGTTACCTACACTTAAATAAATTTTAACCAATTTTTCCTGTGAACTGTAAGTAAATCAAAATATGCCAGGAAATTCACAGGCAAATGGGGTACTACGATTTTATAAAATATCTTTTGTTGTGGTCTGATCTGAACACAGTGCGAAAACGTCACGGTGCTCAGTTATAAACTGTTAAGTAGTTTGTATAACATTAAACGGGCGATGGCTATGAAAATATTTTTCAGTGCGCGTTTCAACGTTAGATTTGAGCTGAGCAAAGGGAAAAGAAAAACTTAAATGACTACTTAAACCAGAAAACATGCAAAACATTAGTCTGGGACCTTTACTCGTGTTGCTAAGCCGCATGGGTGCGTGGGCTCGCTAGGATAAGGTCGGTATTTTTATGTCGACGTTTGCTTTACTAGCTTTCTGAGGAAATGCGCTCCCACTGAAGCCTTGACACATGTACTTCAGTTGGCTGTCCATCCTACAATTTCTTGATTTATTAGTTCAGATTAATGTTTTTGTCCCTTTACGTAAAGAGCACGAATATAAAGTCGCCTCCAGATAAAACATTATAATTTTAGTCTTGAATTCATAATCTTAAAAAATAGTTAAATCTCACGGAGACCTGACAACGATTCTAGTAAGTAATTTAAAAAAATACCATCAGTTTTGATTAAATAGGCGAATATTTACGAAATCATTTTTTTAAGACAGACCTGGTTTGGTGATAAACCAATACATTGTATTATTTTAAAATCAAAAAGAGTTCTTGAACACCTCGGGTTGCTTGTCACTTAATACACACATGAAAAACGCTCCATAAAATATTATGAATGTGGTGGATGACCTATCTCATAAACCGCTACCGTACTTCTCAAATGTATTTTTTATGTAAACGGTGTAACGCCGGTGGTATAACACAATCTAGAAGAATCATTTGGCATTAAAGGAGCCTCTTACCGACCATCTTCGGAATTATCTTCGACAGTTTTCAATATTTAAGCCTAAAAAACGTATCACATTTATTTTTAATGCCCTTTAAAAAGTCTGACATATTTTATAGAAAATACATATAAATAATTTTTGTATGCCAGTGTTACGTCCGTTCACATATTGTACCCGAGAAAGGATTGTTTTTGGCTTTAAAAAGTCTACAAAATACACAGCTAATTTAGAAGCCACATTTTTATTGGCCTTGAAGTTATGATTTCCAAACCACCTGGCGTATACTTTATGTGTAGGAAAACACTTTAGATTTATTTGGACTATTAATAAAGCCTCGTATAAGGCTCAAAAGACTAAAATTAATTAAAAACACACTATAGTTCATAAAAAGCAAAAATAACTGTGTATATATGAGGTCGTATGAATGAACATTTAATGGCTTACTTACTGTCATGCTTAGAAGATTTTTTGAACAAAAGATACCCTTCCTCAAGAATGTTTATTTCCTACTAAATCAATGCAATATTATTAATAATTTTACACCTAGTTGTTAAAACGTTTGAATGTTATAAGGGTATTTGCATATATTATTCAACAAGCATTCTATGTAGATACTAATTTCCATGGAATGCAGTTTTTCAGACAGTCAGAAGGAAGTATCTTGGAAAAACAACATATTCTTGTGACTCAAATATCTGGAATAAGTACGGAGATCTAATCCAAGTAATTCCTCCTGATTGAAGCAGTATTTCGTTTAGAGTTTCATGAGATGCGCCGGAAACTTGTAAATATTCATGAAGTAGTCTGTAAGAAGTAGATAAAGTTAATCGGATCGTGATCAATATGTTCAAACCATGCTTGCATTCTGCTAATATGTTCAGGCTTTCCTATCAATGAGGTAAATAAAATCGTCCAGCAACATTTGCCTGTGTTAATTAATGAATCATTTATAACTTCTCAAAAACCACTGTAAAGGCATCAAAAAAATTGTTGAATAACGATGGAATTTCAGTAAAGGGAAAGCATAGCTTGAATAACTCAACCCAAGTCCACCATGTGCACCATGGAATGGTGGCATGGGGATTACGGTGCCTTGCAGTGCATCTATCCGCCGGTTTCACGACTGATTCAAGAAGACCGCAAGCGAAAGAATGTAGATGTGGCCGGCACCGCCGTAGACGTCACTAAGCCTGCCACCACAACGACTAGGATCCCACAGAGAGGGAGTGCTGTAAAAGCCACATTAAAAAGGAGCCATTGCAGTCTGTCTCGAGGTCCAACACTCGACCACGCCACACAAACACACCCTGTACTGATTGCGAGGTCTGAGTTGTCCCGTCAGTTGGCAACCTTCCTAGCCACGGAGTTCAGTGTATCGTGTTATCTTTAAGCGCGTCAGATTTTTTATGGTTACGAAAATGCGCTAGGCCGTCGATACCCCCATTCGTGCGTTCCACTCTCCAGTGACTGAATAAATAAGATAAACTAACTACCACAACTTTAAAAATCCTTATTTGTACCGTTTTTAATTAAGTATTAATTACGATGTTTTTAAATGTATAGATTGCTTGAGCAAATGTTCCAAAGCTGATTCATAAGCGTTTAAGGTCAGTTTGCCGTTAATATACTGTTCAGAATGCGGCTGACTTCGTGAATCAGCCCTTTGCTTGTTTCCCCAATCAGGGAATTAGTGAGAAAAAAAAGAACGTTTTGCAATAATATATCGAGTATCCGATTAGTGGCTAAGATATAGAAGAAAAGTAATGAATACAAGCCTAAGCATACAACTATCGATTTATACCACGTTTTTTGGCAGTTTGCTTCATCACCCGTTAGCTTCGTCTAAAGAAACTATTGATGAACGAAAGTGACTGGGCATAAGAGAACAGGTGGTTAGCCCTAAAGCAGTAGTTTTTTACGTGGATGAAATTACTTAGAAACCTATTTAAAGGGATAAATAACTTTTCGTATAACGCATTAGGCGAGTGTGTAAAATCCAGGATGACCTACGTTTCCAGAAATAAGTAACACCCTTTCCGGCGCTGAGTTGAATGATTTACAGCATCTGCTGTAAGTGACTTCCATA